TGCCGTCTGCCTCCTGTGGGCACACGACACGGCTGCCTCAGCCCCTGCCTGCCCCCTGACTGCAGCCCCGCCTGCTCCGGCACCCCCCACCACAGCCCTGCTTCGGCCCAGGCCAGGGAGCCCAGCTACCAGGGGGGTCAGTCATGGACAAGGGCTGAAGGGAGCTCAGGAGGTCACATCTTGTCCAACCCCCTGCTCAAAGCAGGGCCAGCCCCAACTACATCATCCCAGTCAGGGCTTTGTCTACCCGGGTCTTAAACACCTCCAAGGGTGGAGTCTCCACCTCTTCTCTGGGGAGCCTGTTCCAGTAGGATTACACCATGGCATGAAAGGCTGGGACTCGTGGCCCCCAGATATGGTGGGAGCTGAGACCTCACCAGGGCTTGGACACATGCATGGAGAAAAGGGGCATCAGTGGCTCTGGGGCAGGCAGTGAGGGCCTTGGCATCAGCCCTGCCTGGACCTCAGTGCTGGAGGCTGCAGGGGAGAGGAACAGGGAAAACCCTGCTCAGCCCCAGTCTCTCTCCCTTCTGGCCTCCACTCCATGCCCCCGTGTGACACAGGCCTATTTGTTGCCTTAAGGGCCCAGGCACCAGGTAAACTATTGGCTGGAGGCTCCTGAAAAGGCAACAACTGATGACTTGGGATAAATTATAAAAAAACAAAGGATAGAAGTGATGGTCTGAGATTAATAACTAGCGCACCAAGGAGGGACGTGGAGCAGAGTGCACCACACAGAGCCCACGGGCCCTTGAACGATTCCAGGGAACAGGCGGACACGGCCCAGTGATGCTCTGCCCCGAGACGGGAATGTACTGGGGACAGGACAGTGGCCCTGCAGTCCCCGGGGACCTTCCCACCAGAGCCTCCTTCCTGGTCAGATACATGCCAGCATGGCCAGGACAAGAGGAGGTTGCCCAGGAGGTCCTGGGACACGATGGGGCTGCAGACAGGGAGTGTGTAAATAGGTGCAGGGAGACATGCAGCCAGGACCTCGGCAGGAGATTCTGGAGGAGGCAGCACAGGGGCAGTGCAGGTGGGCGTGCACCAGGGTCTCCCTCTGCTCGCAGCAGAGGCAGGTGTCAGGGATGTCCCTGAACTGCACCAGACACACGCCCACAGCCTCAGCTCCTTGAAGGAGCCACCAGCTGAGGTCTCGGGTAGCTCATGCTGCCATGCGATACAGGAGGCTGGGCAAGATGGCCCCGGGGTCTGAGCCAGGCCAGGGCAGCTCTGCTGTTCTTATGACCTGGGCACTGGCTGAGGCACAGCTCCTGCCCATCCAGCCCCGGCTCCCCCTGCCCAGACAGGAGCTATCTGCAGCCCCCAGTCCGCCCCGGGGCGCCCCCCCCCCCCCCCCCCGCCATACCTCCACTTGGTGCGGCGGTTCTGGAACCAGGTCTTGACCTGCGCGTCCGTCATCTTGAGGGCCTTGGCCAGGGCAGCACGCTCGGCCGAGGCCAGGTACTTTTGACGGTGGAAACGCTTCTCCAGCTCACAGATCTGCACCCGGCTGAAGGATGTGCGTGGCTTTTTCCTCTTGGGGGGCGTCCGGTTCTGGTAGGGGTGCCCCACACGTCGTGTCACCGCAAACGGGGATAGGGCAGCTGCAGGCAGAGTGGAGCAGGGGTCACGCCGGGGGGGGTCCAAGGCCCAGCCCCTTCTCAGGGGATGGTTCCCTGGAACCAGGCAGTGTCTCAGCAGCCCTGGCACAGCAGCAGGGCTGGCCCTAGGGCCGCTGAGGGGCTGGCGATGGGCTGCTTCTTCTGGGCTCCCAAGCCCCAGACTGGCTGCCAGTCGCAAGGGAGTGACAGGATCCCACAGCATTTTTGCCCCATCCCTGATATTCATGGGGAGACCCAGGGTTTGCAGACACGTCACATGTCATGGGAACATCACCAAGCTGGGCAGCACCCGCCTGCAGCCAGATGCAGCACCCTGAGCCCCAGCATTCCCCCAGGGCCCTGAGCTGGCGGGGAGGCTGGGACTGAGCAGCACCCCCAGAGCTCCGGGAGCAGCGAGGTGCCCGCACGGGACCCTGGGGCCCTTCCTGCTGCTCATGGCCAGGGGCAGCCAAGCCAGTGAGGGCCCGCGACCCCATTCATCGGGGCCCCTGCTCCACCGCGGGCCACTGCAGCCCCACGGCCCCAAGGGCGCGGCAAGCGTTAGGGGCTGGGACCCTCGGCCCTGCCCGCGCGGCCCTGGGCACAGTGGAAGGGGGGAATGGCTCAGAGCAGCCCCGGGCTCAGCCCAGCCCCACCCCGGACA